TCCGGAACAAGCTCACTGCCCAGCGAAGCACCTTCGTCCCGTTGTCCTATTCTCCTCCCTGGAAAGGTCTGAGCCCCACGACCCCCACCCTCCCCCAGGGCTGTGCCGGCGCGTCCCCCTCCCCAGAGCCCGACTCACATCTCCGTGCGCTCGCCCCTGCCCGTGCAGCCCGGCGGAGCTCGGAGCGGCGGCCGGCGGGGAGCCGGGGCGGGCGGGACGGGGGGAGGAGGAGGAGGAGGGAGCAAGGGTGGCAGGAGCGGGGAATAGAAAGCAAGACTGCGAACAGTCTGGCACCGGACCAGGTCGGTCCCAGCGCCGGCTCTGCTGCCCTCTGCTGCCGAGAGCCCCGGGACCGGGGGGGACACGGGCGAACACGGAGCCGGGGGTGCCCCGGCCTGGCCACGCAGAGCCGGGAGACCTCTTCTGGCCCAGGAGGCAGGAAAACGATTGCCTGAGACCCCTCCGAGGGCTTGGTCTGCAATCCAGAAGCTCTTCCGAGTTTGTTCCCACCGAAAATGTCCTCCTAGGAAGTCCCCCCAGTCCCCCCGGGGTGTTTTCTGGTTTAGAAAGATCAGAAAATTTATAGTCTTCACAAGTTAATTCAAACTTTAAAAAATCAAGCTGAAATGAAGCTGTCAAAAAAGATAAGTTTTCTCAATTCTGATCTGCTAAAGAGCACTTCTGAGATTTCTGGGGTGTGGGAACTGGGATCATCTTCAAGAAAAGCAAGAAGCTTCAGGCACTTGAGTTAAAAAGATATTAAGAAAAATGAAAGTCTACAGAATTAAAGGCATTCTGAGAACAAATCCCTTTTCAAGGACCCCTCTTGATGTTTCTTCTGCAAGCATTTTTAGGAGAACCAAGATAGATAGATAAGGCACTCTATTTAATGGGGAAATGAGAAAATATAGCAACTTGAAAACCCCTTTCAGGTTTTTAACAACATAGTGCCCAAGACATGTATTTATGTCCCCAGTTTTATGAAGTTTAAAATTTCTTGGCTTTCAGGTTTTGGTGGAAGAGATAAAACACCATTTTAGTGTTTTTCCTTGGAATTATGTGTGGCTTCAGAGAGGTTAGGAAGTGTCTTGCATTGAAATCAGAGGAAGTAATTCACAGCCACAAAAACATGTTGAATGAAGATGAAAATAGTGTTAAAAAGAATGAAGAAAGCAGCCTTGGGATATTTATGGAAGTGTACCAGAGAACCCGTTCATCAAACATATTTGAATTATTATCCCAAAAAGATGACATAAACACATAATTAATGCCACAGTTATAATCCCATATGGCCCCACATATCAGATTTAAGATTAAACAGGGGACATTATCCTAGTACTTCCTGATGTCCTCTGCACGATGAACACTCTTGGGCAGGCTCACTGCTGTGCTGTGCCATGCTGGAGTGGTTTCTTACTCAGAAACCACACCTGGAAAGTAGTGGGAAGAGTGGGAAGAGTGTTCCCTGGGAAAGCACGGACAGACAGACAGCCCTGGGGATCCTTTGTAAGTAGGTGGATAATTTCCCTGTGTCCTTGACAAGCAATCTGCTATCCAGGGGCCACTTACTGGGAGTGCCCCGTGACACTTTCAAAGCACATCTCCCATGTCTTCAATGCCTTCTCCCGTCCCGATAGCATCATCTGGGAAAACAGGAGACGACTTCAGCTGGTGAAGCAGGGGTGGCTGGCTGGGGACACAGCCAGCCCGAGCAGCCCACCCCTAACACACATCCCAGAGACCGCCTGGCTGGGACAGCACAGCGGCACCCTCCGGGCAGCTCCAGTGCTCCCGCTGCTGGCCTTCCCCTTCAGGTGCTCCGGGCGATCCTCTTCCTCCTGTTAGGCTGGGGCCAAGAAATAGCATGGTTTTTCCTTGGAAGGACATATGTGCCCATCTTTGCTTAGGGGCAGAATTCCTGCAGGACCACGGAACATATGTAGGACCACAGAATGATAAAACGAGCCTCTCTGTGCTGCCTGCTGGCCTCAGCTGCATTACAAGTGGTCTGGACAATAAATACAGACAATATCAGAGCAAAGTAAAAAAAACTGTAGATCTTCAGCATAGTCAAATATGCCAACATCCTCTTATGTAGCAAGAACCCTGCTTTGAATACAGTGTCTTGCAGGAGGTCGTTGGAAAGAAATCTGCTTTACAGACTCAGAAACCATGAAAATATCTTCTGGCATGTGGACTAGATCCTCTTGTCCACAGTGAAGAAGGAGCTGGAGTCTTTATCCTCAAGCCTGAGTCAAGGAGGACAGAGAATTACCTCTGTTTGGTCTCTTACAGCTGTACCACCTACCCTACAGCACAGCAGGGCTGCAGACCCAGGCTCACCTATAAACACTGAAATGCTTCCCCAGGGCACTCTACCTTCAGCCTTGTTGGTTTGACTACCCAAAGTACCCAAAGGCTTGGCTGGAGCCCTCTGGGGACACTGCCATTGGGCTTGGCCTTCACACAGTCAGGCCTGTGCTGTCCACTGGCTCAGCACTCTTTCAGACAAATCATGATGCTTCTGCAGCTCTGGCTGGTAGGGAGAGGATGATCAAAACCAAAAGAAGATTCAGGACTCAATCAGTGGGTCTTTCCCCTGATATGAGATGGTGAGCAGCAGCAACAGCACGTTGGAAGCCTGTTTCTGTGTCTTCTAAATCAAGGAGCAGAACCAAATGTGTACCCTGAGGGGTACACAGTTCTGCAGCACCAGCCACTCACCAATATCACACCTCCTCACCTCCTCCCACCTATGTCCTCCCAATATCACAACTTTCCCCTGCTTTACAGTGGCATCCTCACTTCCCATAGCCTCATGTCTCAGCAATGCAGTGCTGTGGGGTAAAGTCACCATCTGCCTTAGGCATCACACCGTTCATGAGTATGAAAGGAAAAACTGGATTATTAATGCTGGTAGTTACTACCTGAAGGCCTAGAATATGTTGCAGTACTAACCCCTATGATTATCATTAGTGTGGGGACCACATCAAGTGAGTAATGACTCTTATCTGTGGTTCTGGCCCAATCAGATGATTCCTGAAGAAGAGAGGCTGTCATGGATACATGATGGCTGGCAACAAGTCAGAAGCAATCTACTTGGCCTATCACCTCACAGGCTTACAGGAAAATTACACGGATGGCAGAAAAGTCTGGCTAATCACCTGAAAGCAATAGTGTCTGCCATCCAACCAGAATGTAAGCTCAGAAGAGGAGAGTTTGCACCAGCTTGTGGTGCAGGGCCTGGAATGAGTGGATCAGTTGTTGATCATGCAGTCTGGAAGACAGCAGCCTGGACATGGTGAGGTGGGCTCGATGCTGGGCGTTCTTATGGCATGGAAGAGTGCAAAGAGGGCAGCAGTGGAACCAGCTCCAGCTGCTGTCTGCCTTCTGCAGCTTCATGATACAACAAAGGTCACGTAGATGTTCCCTATGGTAGAAGGAGTGATAGAAGGGCTGAGCAGATGTGCTGGATGGCCTGGCTCTGACTGCTCACTGGCTTTGATTGTGGCACTCAAATTGTGGATTGTGGATACTGACAGGGTGCTCCTGCCTCATATGTCCTGAAATACAACCATAAAGAGTCAGAGGTTGACACTGTAGGCACAGCTGCAGCTCCCCGAGCCTTTGCCTATCACATGTTCTGAAGTAATGCTTTTCTCATGGCACTCATCTTTGCAGTTTCCTGAAAAGAAGCTCTCCAGAAAACAGTGTTTTTAAATGATTGCTGGCAGAAAAAATAAAGGGCTTATATTTGAAAAATTTGCCAATCTGTTGGCTCTTTGTGGTGTCAGTAGTTGCACATTTTTGTGTACCCTGCCTTTCAACCTTCTGTTGGGGGCAACCACAAGCATTTTTCAGGAATAACTGCCTGTGGACTTGTGCCCATCCCATCAGGTGTCATAATTAAAGAACAGCTCTCTTTGTGGCATGGGTCTGGCTGTTCAGGGGACCTCACCTCCTCTGGTTCTGCACCTTGGTCTCCGACTGCAGATAGCTGTGAACCAGCGGAGCTACGATGGTTGTGAGGAGACTCCACCAAGAATGCCAGAAGGAATGTTGGGACTAGAGGTGGTCACTGTGGTTTCTTACCCCATAAAGAGATCCTGACCCTTCCTTACCCATGAGACCTTCTCAGGAAGGCAGTGAACATGGGGCTGATTACTCCAGCCAGCGCTCCCCCTTCACACCACCACATGAGAATCCTAGACTCTGAAGGACAAGTTCTGATCCTACCCATCATGCCTGAGGACCCCAAGAAGCTGTGGCTGCCCCATCCCTGGAAGTGCTCAAGGTCAGGTTGGATGAGGCTTTAAGCCACGTGATCTAAGTGAAATGTCACAGAATCACAGAATCACTTAGGTTGGAAAAGACCTCCAAGATCATCAAATCCAACCTTTGACCGATCATCAACCTTTTGAAAGAGACCATGGCAGCAAGGGCCACATCCAATCATTTTGTGAACACCTCTGGGGATGGTGACTCCACCACCTCCTTGAATAGTCCATTTCAATGCTTGACAATGCTTTCTCTGAAGAAGAATTTCTTCTGAATTCCAGGGGAGGCCTGGAACGAAATGATCTTTAACAACCCAAGCCATTCCATGATTCTATGATCCCACGATCCCGGGAAGAATGCAGCATCCCCAGAGGACCAGAGAAGACGGCAGGTGATGCCTGCAGAAGCAGCCTAAGCTACCCCTGCCCACCCGGGCACCGACCCCCCCAGTCCCGGCGGGCATGGCGGGGTCCGGCCGCGGTGGGAGCGGCGGGAGGAGCGCGGGAGCTGCGGGGCCGGCCCGGCCCCGGGGCAGCCCCCGCCCCGCTCCTCCCCGAGCGCTCTTATTCTGAAAGGAGCCTCCGCGCAGCCGGCGGCCCAGCGCTCCCGCCCCGGCCCATCCCGCTGCCCGCCTCCCGCTCCCGCCGCCCGGCCCAGCCGTGACCCCCGGCCGCTGCTGGCCGGTGGGCGAGGCTCAAGAAAACACGCTGCTACGGGGGGGCTCGGCTCGATCGGGTCTTGTTTCTTTTTCTTTCTCGCACTGGGGAGCGCGGGTCCCGTCCGGGCATCTCTGCGGGGAGCGCTCACTTCACCTTCTGGAAAACCTGGACGCAGACCTCGTCTTCAGCAGTCATGCGCTGGGAAAGGGGAGGCAAGAGAGGAGTTTAGGTTGGATCCCCTCCTGCCTCTCCCCAGTTCTGCCAACCCTCCCGCTGCTGGCTGGAGCCCTCCCAAAGCCCCTGCGGGTCTGGCTGCAGGGCAGGGAAGGGACATCGCCTTTGTGGAGCTGTTTAACTTTCGAGTTTAACTTTTAAACCCTGGAGGCGGATGTTTGTGTGAAGCGGTGGCTGCCCCCCGCAGAGCCGGGGATGAAGTCTGAGAGAAGGGGGAAGGAAACTGCACGGCTGGCGCAGAGCCAACAGCACCCACACTGTGTCCCCCCCACTCGCTGTGCTTGGGATTTTGCAAGCTGCACCGGACCCCTCCTCACCAGATGCAGCTGGTCCCCCTCCAACCAGTGCCTCCAGCCGCGGTTCCTCTTCTCTCCGAGCTGCTCGCACACCAGCTGATCGCCCTCCCAGGACACGGTTGTCTGAAGGGAAGGAGAGGGGAAACATGGTCCTGAGACAAGTGGATCGCGGTGATGCATGTTTCCAGCGCTGACACTGGCTGTTCCTCTCCGACACAATGTCAAATGCAGTCCCTGATCTGGTGTCTCTTTAGTGGCTCCTTGGGACAGATGGTCTTTGTTGGAGGTGAACGACCCTCTGGCTTCCAAGTGCAACATCAGAGTTCTGCCAAGTGGCCTGACATTCTATCTTTTCAGGGCTTTGCTCCAGAGGATAATATCCTCCAGATCCCAGAGAACTGGTTTCTGGCTCTTTGCTGCTAATTCTTTTGGCAGTGAGTGATTTACTCATAGAACCACTTAGTCCTGGACCTGCAGGGGCATGCTAGCTCTGGGCTTGGTTCTTACCTGGGTATTGAGTCAAAAAGCTGAGCAAATCCCTGAACTCTTTAGCACACCCCAGTCCCCTGTGAAACTGCACTGCTTGGCTTTCTCACCTGGCACTTGCGTCCATCCACGGGTCCCAGGTCTTCCTCAAACTGGACTCCTAGGTCGAAATCCATAACATAGTCCCGCAGGGAGGTGATGGTGCGGATGACCATGTGATCTCCCGTGTGGATAATCTCTTTGTCCGGCTTCAGTAGGCAGACCAGCTTTCGCAGGACCACGTTGATATCTAGAGGATGAGAAAGAGGGGGGATGTGTGGACGACCCGGGCCCCTCCTCCAGCAGAGCTCCTCCACTCTTAGCCAAGGACCATCAGCCATAGTACCTCTTTTCCTCTCCTACCACAGCGCAAAAGTGATGGTAGGAGACGAAGGACCAGAAGGTTCCCAATTCCCTTCCTCTTTCCCCTTTCCGACTCTTAACTTTTTGGAGATACTAACTTTTTGGGAACTAAAGGGGAGGAGGGAGCGTGATGGGGAGGGGAGCGTTACCTAAAGCCCGCAGGTAATTGTCCATGTTCTCTTGGGAGACGAAGCGGTAATAGCCGGTGAGGTTGGGAGGCATGCCGGGGCAGAGGGACGCGGCGGACGGTGCGGAGGAAAGAGCGCAAGCAGCCGGGCAGCAGCGGAGCCGGGACCAGGCTGGCTCGCCGGGCGGGCCGGTGGCTGTCCCGCGGTGCGGAGCGGCCCGGTCCCCGCGCCCCCCGCCGCAGTAAGAGTCCCCGCGCCGGGGGGCGCGGAAAGGGCCGGGACGGCCCCTGCTCCAGCATCTCCGCCTCGCCTGGGCAGGGCGTAGAGACGGTGGGTTACCTCCTCAGCCTCCGCTCTCATCGGGGGCTGCTCGTATTAAACTCTGGACTTCCAACCAGCGGCAAGGAGCCCTCCCTCTCCGGCCCTTCCACACATCGTGGCGCCGGTGGCTGCGAGCTTCGTCGGAGCAGCGCCCCGGCCTGCGCTCCCCACGGTGCGGACACCCCGTCGAGGAGAGGCGGCGGCAGGCTGGCAGCTCCGCCCTGCCCAGCCCGAGCCAGGGCTCCGGGTGCGCTCTGCAGCCCCTCGCCCCCGCATCCCCCCCGATCTCCACGCCCTCCTCGTCCCGGTGTCGAAGCTTCCCCCCTCCCCGGGCAGGCTCCCGCAGCCCTCGCCGCGCTCCGCGGACTGCCTGGCCCGCAGTGGGGAGGCGAGGAGCGGCCGGCTCGCCCCGCTCGCATCCCGATCCCGCATCCCGCATCCCGATCCCGATCCCGCGGCACCTGGCGCGGCGGCCGCGCGCATTGGCTGCGCCCCCCGCCGCCCGTGACGTCATGCTGCAGTGCGGGGCGGGGCCGGGCGGGGCGCGGAGCCGCTGCCGGAGGTGCCGCCGTCCCTGCGCGCCGCCGCCGCGGGAGCGAGGGCGTGGGTCCTGCCGGGACCCGCCGCCACCGCCGCGATGGGCGACCCTCGGCCCCGCGCCGCCGTCCTCCTCCCTCTGCTCTGCCTCTGCGCCGCGCTGCCCGGCAGCTCCTCCAACAAAGGTGAGCGGCGGAGCGCCGCGGGCACGGTCCCGGGCGGCGGCGGGCGCTCCGCTGGGACCCACCGGCAGCCCCTGCGGAGGGGCTCTGGAGGGACACGCCGGCCGCGGCTCGTCCATCCGCCCCCGCGGTGGCGGTGCGGCTCCGCGCTGCCCGCCGCCTTCGCCCGGCACGTTTTTGTCGGGGCATCTCCGCGGTCCCCGGCGGCCCCGGCTTTCTTCGCCCCTTCGGGCGCTCTCATCCCATCCCATCTCCATTCTCTACTTTGTCCATCTGTCATCCTACCACCGCTTTTTTCTCCATTCTTTCGTCTCCTGGCGCTCCCCTCGCGTTTTCCCTTTTTCCACCCACTTGTCATGCTTTTGTTTAGTTATCACTGGGTGGATTTAGATTCCCATCCCTTCCCTAGCATGCTGAGAGAGAATATGTTGTTTCTCCACAGATCCCTGCAGTTCATAAAACACATTCCCCAGCTCCATCTTACAGTCCTAGTTCATCCATCTACAATCTGTCAATAGGAACTGTTTATGCATAGTTATGTGCTAGCGATGCAGGCTGATTTAATGTATTTCATGTGATAAAGATGAAAGACCCCCGAACCACCCCAGTGCTACAGCTGTAACCTTCTGAATGCAGATGTTCTTTGAGCACACAGAGTGATGGAGAAAGGTGTAGGTTTCTGGTAGAGACAAGCCTGAGAGATTAATCCAAGGGCAGTCAGCGTGTTGGTAATCTGACAGGGTGGGAAAATCTGTAAACAGTTGAGGGACTCTGGGCTCATCGGGGAATGTGACACCTTAGGGTGCTCTCCGTGCCTTGGAAGAGTCAGGGCTATGGGGCGGGTGCGCTGCAGAGCTGTGTGCACCCTGACATTGGTAGGGGCATTTATTTGTTCTGCTCTGCTTCCATGGGGCTCGGTGGCAAGGAAAGGCCCCTCATACTCTGGATTCTCCCTCTCCTTTGTGAATTTGCACTCGGAAACACCTACCCACCTTTGGCAAATTATATTAGATTGACGGGAGCTTTCTTGAAGCTGGTAGGAGTCTGTATCCTGGTAGGAGTCTCTATCCTAAAAATATTCCTAAAATGTTTTTCTATTCTCCAACAACTCATTTCCCAGAAATCAGATTGGTGATCCCCAAGTTGCAGGTGGATGCAGCAAAGGATTTATCTCTGTACCATCAGCTTGTTACCCCAGCAACAGGGCACATTTGGCATTTATAGCTCTGGATCCCCACCTCGGTGGTGTGGCGCATGGATAGAGCCGGAGCAGAATGGAATCCGGTGGGGACAATGGGCGGGCAGGGGGAGCCACGGGCACTTGCACACAGGGAGGATTCCACCTGCATACTGAGCAGGATGGATGTTGCTCTGGATTTCCTACGCAATGCTTTATAATCTCAGTCGATATGGTGGTGGAGAAGTGCCAACCCACGCTCTTCGCTGCCACTCCAGGCGGGATCTGCCCCCTCTGCCCTGCTGGGACATCCCCTCGCTGACCTGTCACCCTGCCTGCTGCCCCCCCAGCCACCCCTGGCAGCCCCCCCTGGCCCCAAAATGCACAAGTGCTTGGTTGCACAGGATGCTGCCTGTTTTGAGCCAACACATGAGGCCATGCCAGTATGGCCTTTCAGAGGACACTGTGCTGCAGAGGGTGGATTCAACATATTGGAAGTAGTGCCCTTGAGGGGAATGGCTCTGTATCCTACTCCCCACCAGCTCTGAGCCATGCTGTGCTCAAAGTGTTGCTGGTTGTAATAAATCTTGGTCTCCAGAGGGTGGGAGAGTGGGGGATTATCTGGGAATGGGGGTTGTAACTAGGCCATGTAATATAATCTCTGAGGCCCATTTGGCAGGGAGTGGGCATGGGGGAGGGGTTTGTAATTTGTAATGATTTTTCTTCCTCTCTCTCCTCCGATCCCCTCCCCTTCACTCCCCCCCACCCCTTTATTTCTCCCTTTCCCTGCCCCGGAGCCTGTGTGATAAAGATTAATTTGCTATTTCTGGGCCTGTGACATTTTTCAGAGCCTCCTGCTGGCTGCTGCCTCCATGCCAAGCCTGGCTGGGCTCCAGCCAACGGGATTAGCAAGGAGGGCCCAAAGGAATATGGTGCTCACCATGGAGTGGGGAATGAAAGAGCAAGGGGCTCTCAGAATAGGTTGCTATTTGCATAGGATGGCTGACTGAAGGTGTTCCTGGGCATGTCTGTGTAGGTCCTGGGCCTTAGTCTAGAGGGTGCTAGGCAGAAGTGATAATGGCTGCATTGTTCCCTGGGGATACCCCAAAGGAAGATGTAGGCTGGATCCTTCCATTATGGCTTCATTGAGCTAAAGGATTTAGTATTTGGAATCTGTCTCCAGGCTGAGGCTGCTTCCGCCTCTTGAGTTCACTTTTTTTTAGCTGCTCCCGCTTTTCTGGGTGCCCAGGTGTCTCTCCACCTATTGCTAATAAGATAGTAATGAGGACACAAGAAGGAACACATTGTTTCTGAAGAGGTCTCCCATGAGTAGAACTAAATAAAGATAACTTTTTTCTCCCAGCCTATTTTAGATGTCTTTATTTCTAGAGAAGAAGGTGGTTGTTACTTGCCAGGGGATGAAATTCTTCTCTTTTCCTACTGAATCTGCAGTTGGTGGCTAATACATTCCTGTCCTCCAATCCCTTACCCCAAATCTGCCTCAGCAAACAAGCACAAACCATGGATTGAAGCCGAGTACCAGGGCATCGTCATGGAGAATGACAACACCGTCCTGCTCAACCCGCCGCTGTTTGCTCTGGACAAAGATGCCCCACTGCGCTATGCAGGTAGGTGGGGAACAGCTCTGGCAAGGGTGCAAGGCAGGGACACACCTATGGAGAGGCAGGGACACAGTGACATTCATCCCTATACTGGATCCTACCCCTCTTCAGGAAACAATCACCTCCAAGCCTTGTTCTGGAGGAGGTCCCTAGTGAAGTCTGGAGGCAATTTGGGCACAGCTTGATTTAGGATGCTGTGAGCTGTTTCCTCAGGGAGAGGAACTGAGGGTGGAGCCAGCTACTTTTTGACGCAGTTCTGCTATTTCCAAAGATCACATGCACAGTGCTGAGTCTGTGAGCCCTGGAGAAAGCTGGTAGGGCACCCTTCCTTGGCAGTGCTACATCCCCTCACAGTGAGCACAAATCCCTGAACAACAGTCCAGGCTCTCAATGGTTGTATTCCTAGTGCTTGCTTAGGCCACGCCTGGGATTTCCTCACACGTTCTTCCTCAGCTTTGGGAGAGTAAATGTAGTCCCTGGGAGCTGAATTTTAGGGTTTAGGTGACCCTATCTGCAGTTCCCTGCGGTACTTTGCGCATCCTGTGCGTGTGGGTGGATGAGACATCGTGGATCTTCATGCTCTGGCTATCTGCAGTGTATGGCCCGTTTTGCCTCCCTGAGGGATGCAGAGGAGAAATAAGGTGCTCCCCCAGGACTGTGTAGCACTAATAAATGTAGCTTAAGCCTTGTAACCTTCAATCTTTCCTGATGCTGGCCAGGACTCCTTGCCGTGGGAGTATTCTCCAGTAGATGGCAATCTGCACCGTTAATGGCTGTAAGGGATAGCAGGAGGAAATCCTAGGGAGCCAAAAACTGCTCAAGATGAAGGATGATAATGGGGGAGAATGGAAAGTGTAAGTTAGAAAGGAAGAAAATATGGGAAAGGAAAGAAGGGGATGTAATATGCTCTCCTCAGTCCTTTTCTTTCTCCCCTTCCTCTCTGTTTTTGTGTGTACCAGGTGAAATCTGTGGCTTCAGGATCCATGGGTCAGGGGTACCTTTTGAAGCTGTGATCCTGGACAAAGCTACAGGAGAGGGGCTGATCCGGGCCAAGGAACCAGTGGATTGTGAAGCGCATAAGGAGCACACATTTACCATCCAGGCCTATGACTGTGGAGAGGGACCTGATGGAGCAAATACCAAAAAATCACACAAGTAAGTTCATGCAGACATTGCTGCATGCTACAAAATGTGATCTGTGACAAAAATGCAAAGGAAAGTTGCTGTGGAAACACTTCCTTTAGCCAGAAGTATTT